CAAGAAAGGGGGGCTTGCTTGGAGGGAACGCGGGCGCGAGCACGCACCTTGCAGGCTCCTTGGCGCTGTGCGTGTCTATCCCGTCGCTAGGCTCCCCGGCTGGCTGGCTGGAGGGAGAGAGGGAGGAAAGCGCAGCGCGAGTCCTCGCATGCCTGCCTTCCACCTCCGCAGTGAGTTTCTGCACCTTCGGGCGGATTCGGAGAAGGCGCGCGCGTGGCCCGGGCCGGGTGCACGCTGCCAGTCTGGTTTCTGCCTCCTGCACCCAAGTGCCCAGTGGCAGCCCCTGAGTTTCTCTCCACCGCAGATCTGGCCACCTTAACAGAGCTTCGCGGATGGCCCACTCCGCACAAAAGCCCCTTCAGGGCCTCCGCTCCCTTCTTCCATTCCTCGGGTCGCAAATGCGAGTGTTTGGCCAGTTGCGGTTCCTCCACAAGGGACCCCGGTTACTTTTGCTCTTCTTGACTGTCCCCTCCCCCCTTCCCAAGAGACCAGTTTCTTCTCGGTCTAGAAAGAAAGGTAACTCTGGCGCGCGCGCGCGCACACACACACACACACACACACACACACAGTTCAGGTCACTACGGGTTGGATAGCCTGAGGATGTTGCACCTAACAGCCCCATCTCCCTTTCTAGTTTCAGGTTTCTGAAACAGATCGCGAACTTCGTCGAGAAAATTCAGTTGGAACATCAAGACTGGCACACTCCTTTTCCTCAGACAATAGGCAGGAGCCAGGCAGAGCCCAGGAATTCTTGAAACACCTCTCTTCCATTTGGAGGACACTAAGTTTTATTTGACGACAAAGGCAGTTCAATATGGCAGCAGGACTGAAGGGACACGAAGGAGTTGTCACAGTGATTTGGTGACAGTTCTTCCAACAACAGTGTCTTAAGGGAAGGTGGATCAAGAAAACCCAGAACTTTGGGGTTGCATTGAGAACTCGGCATGGCTCAGGTAAAAAGCTCTAGAGTCCTCCTCCTTCAAGATAACTGGGAAGCGTGTTTGCAGTTTCACTCTTAAATGCTGCCTTAGTCAACATACTGACCAACCCAGTGAGCCAAGCTCTGTATTAAGCACCAGGGGGAGATCTAGAGGAAGGAAAGGAGACAGGCCACAGCCCCTGCCTTCAGGGAGTTTCCAGTCAAATGAAGGAGGTAGGCTATACTGCATCACAGGCACTGATGGGACCTTTGCAAAGCAACAGGTACTCAGTTTACACTTGGTACATGAAGTGCTGAGGGGCGCGAGGGAGTAAACAGTCTTGTGAATGCTTCCTTTGTGTGTTGTTTGTTTGTTTTTTTTCAACAGGAATTTATTGAGCTCTTGTTATATGCAAGGCATTGTGCTGGGGATACAAAAATGAATAAGACGTCAGAGTCCCCAGCAAGCTTCTAGGCTAGGTGTGGTGGGGTGGGGGGGAGACGGAGAGACAATCTGTTATTTATCTTTATGTTCACACTACCTTGCATAGTGGCTAATAGTAGAGATTCAGTGAATCTGTTGATTGAAGGAATGTGCAATAATTGAGATATGTGTACTGCAGAAGAGAGAATGATACCTCTGCCTGGATGGAAAAAGAAGATGAATCTTGAAGGATGCATAGGATTTTGCTAAATAATCAGAACAGGGCATTCAGACAAGGAGAACTTCATGGGCAGAGACTTAGAGGTATGGGATGATGTGATGAGGTTGGGGGTATGGAGATAGTTTGCTAAGTTGAAAAAAGGCTTTAAATGGGGAGTGGTTGGGGGGGTAGGATAGAGAGAAATGGATGGAAAAATTGGGGTGAGGGAGTTGTTTCCTGGAGAATTAAGCAGAGTGTAACCCAAGGGTCTTTTATGCCTTGCTCAGGAATTAGACTTTATAAAGAGTGGGAACTCTGAAGAATGTTAAATAGAGTGACATCAGTGTATTTAGAAGGTAATTGCCATTGTGGGGATACAGGGTGGATTGGAGAGAGAGGATGACCTGATAGGCTATTGTTGGTATATTTTCATCGTCTGGGTAGGAAAGCTATGTGCAGGGATCTCTAGAGCCTCTCTCAGCTTTCTTCCAGGGACCCTCCCCTACCAGTCTCACCAGGATGACAGCCTGATTGCAGTATAATTGGCTTTCTTCCAGCTGCATGCATAGCTTCCTCCTTTCCATGCAGAATAGGAGCCCTTTAGTTTCTTCCTTTGTCTGTTTGCAACCCCTTTCACGGCATCATGTTCGCTCTCGTTCTGAGAAGACTGCCTTTCACTAACTTTGTACGGGGCACAGCTGAGCATTTTACATCCTAGTTTAATTCTTAACCCTGTGAAGGTAGATACTATGATAAATATTTTCCATTTAAGGAAACTTAGGCTTAAAGAGGTGGAGTAATTTGCCCAAGATTATATAATGCAAACAGCAAGGCTAAGTTGTTGCATGTTGTTTTTTTTTTTTTACCTCCAGATCCTTTAGTCCAAAGTCTTTGAAGGTGAAAGAAGGGGTTCCAGGATATACTGATCATCTAAAAGGAATTTCTTTATAAATCACTTGTGGAAGTTTGCTGACCAACTACTACTTAAAAGTTCCTTCAGTAAGAAAAGTATAGTCTCTAGTGCTGGCTAAACAGTCAATTTAAAGAATGTAACAGTGGAAAGAGGACATTTTCTTAAACATTCCTTATGTAATTTTAAACTATATGTCGAGCAAGGAATGTGAAAAAATACGGGTATGCACACATATAAATGGCCAGGTAGTGTGTGAACAGAAATTGTACATTCAGCTCCCAAATCCTTCCAAGTTGTTTAATTTTTATGTCTGTTATAATTGATACACTTAGGGGATTTAAAATCTAAGGAGAGAAATTACCTAATTTTACCGATAAACATTTGTGGAACCTGATAGAATATATACTTGGCGCTAGTGGGGTCTGTAAAGCTGAGTGCTATTGAGAGAAGGAGGAAGTTCCTCTAGAAATCTCCCATTTCAATGGGTCAGCAGGACAGACTCATGCCCACTCCCAAGACCTAGAAACACTTCAAAGTAACCTGTAGACCCACACTGTACCTAGCACAGTGCTAATGATAAAAGTGTCAATAATACTTGATTATTATATCTAAATGATGGATGACAAAATAAGTAACTAATTCCTGGTGAGATGAGTTAGGGAGGACTCTTGAAGGAAGCAGAGTTTCGTCCGTAGAGCAGTTTGTTCATAGGTAGGAGTAAAAGGTAGTTCTGTGGAGGATGGCAGCCTGTTTCTGCCCTGCCAGGTGACCTGATACCTCATCTCCTTTCAACTTAGGCAAGTCTCCTGGCTTGTGAAGGCCTAGCAGGTGTGAGTTTGGTTCCCACTGCAGCCAGCAAGAAGATGATGCTGAGCCAGATTGCCAGCAAGCAGGCCGAGAACGGAGAGCGGGCAGGTAGCCCTGATGTGCTGAGGTGCTCCAGTCAGGTACAGAGCTGGAATCCATTGTGGCACCTGGGGGTCGGGTGGCCCAAGCTCTCTGCCAGGAGATGCCAAGCTTTGATTCCTCAGTGCTTCTGTTTAAGGAAGTGGGGTAAGGGGATCCAGTTGGGAAATGAATGAATATGGGTTTTTTAGAGAACAAAGAAGGGTCTTTTCTATACCTACATCCCCTTAAAACCAGAATACTTGGGGAAGAAATGGATGAGTACTTTCTCTTAACCTTTGGGCAGGTGGTTTACTCTCATTTACAAGTTGCCTAAAAGTAGCATTTGGTCTTCTGTCTTGGGTTCTGAGATGGACTGTGAGTTTAGATTTGATTTGTGTTCGAAGGGCCACCGAAAAGACAGCGATAAGTCCCGGAGCCGCAAAGATGAAGACAGCTTGGCTGAGGCCTCTCATTCAAAAAAGACTGTTAAAAAGGCAGGTAATGGGGTTATCCACAAACTGGTAGTTTGGTAATGGGGTAATCTTTCTTCTATGGCTCAACCTGGAGCTTTCCCTAGATGTTTTGGTCCCTCATAGCCAATGATTGTGTCACCCTAATTTCATCCAGAGACCACTTTGGTAGTTCATCTCTACCTTCTGCAGAACATCCTTGGTAAGGGAAGGAAGGTTAGAGAAGCAAGCATGAGATCCTCTGTGAAAGGACAGGCAGACTACGCCTCGGGTCCCATTAAAAATATTGAGTTTGCCTAGCTGGTTTGGCTCAGCAGATAGAACGACGGCCTGACGACCAAAGGATCCCAGGTTCGATTGCAGGCTCCTCCCCAGCCTGGGCCCTGGTCAGGGCTCGTGCAGGAGGCAACCAATCAATGTTTCTTTCATGTCAATATTTCTCTCTCTCTTTCCCTCTCCTTCCACTCTCTCTAAAAATCAATGGAGCCCTAGCTGGTTTGGCACAGTGAATAGAGTGTTGACCTGCGGACTGAGGGGTCCCGGGTTCAATTCTGGTTAGGGGGCGCATGCCCAGGTTGTGGGCTCAATCCCCAGTAGGGGGCGTGCAGGAGGCAGCCGATCAATGACTCTCTCTCAAAATTGATGTTTCTATTTCTCTTTCCCTCTCCCTTCCTCTCTGAAATTAATAGGGATATATATATTTTTTAAAATCAATGGAAAAATATTCTCAGGTGAGGATTTAAAAAATATGTATATTGAGTTTGACAAGGCAGGTAGCTTAGCCACCCCCCTCCTTTCTTGGAGGATCTCTGAACTGTAGGGGATACAGGAGATGGCAGCATCAGAGGGGTTACTTTGTCCAGCAGCTGGAAATAGACCCTGAGTAGAATGGGGGCAAGAAGGGGACAGAGAGAGAGCCTTACGACGTGTCTGATTGTTGCCCACAGGTTGTAGTAGTGGAACAAAATGGTTCTTTTCAAGTAAAGATTCCCAAAAATTTTGTTTGTGAACACTGCTTTGGAGCCTTTCGGAGCAGTTACCACCTCAAGAGGCACATCCTTATTCATACCGGTAAGTCTTTTCTCAGATTCAAGGAGAGGAGAACAGTCGATAGTTTGGTGTGTGTGTGTGTGTGTGTGTGTGTGTGTGTGTGTGTGTGTGTGTGTGTGAGAGAGAGAGAGAGAGAGAGAGAGAGAGAGATAAGGTTTATTTTATGTTATTTTTTTTGTTGGGTTTACTTTAAAGGGTATTAGAAGTAAAGGAAGAAGGTAAATGAATGAGATAGAGATTGCATGACTCTGTATCTAGTGTCACTGAGACCAACAGCTTTGTGGACCCTTCCCCATTAGGTGTCTGCACATTGCTAAAAGTTAAAATTTCTGGGAAAATACCTAGAACGAGGTCCCTGCCATGCATACCTCCTGATATTAACTTCTCTCTCCATCTGGGCCAGGTGAGAAGCCATTTGAGTGTGATGTATGTGATATGCGCTTCATTCAGAAGTACCACTTGGAGCGTCACAAGCGTGTGCACAGTGGTGAAAAGCCCTACCAGTGTGAACGGTGTCATCAGGTAAGCTCACATGTCTTCCATCCACCCTCCACAGAAACTTTTCCTTCCCAAAGAACGCGGGCCAGCCCCCACTCCCAGCCCGACAAAGGGCCATGATCAAGTCAGTACCTCAGGGTGAGGTGTATTTCCCTGGCCTTACGCAACTGCTCATGGGGAGGGGCCATTAGAATAATTGTAATAAAAAATTATAATAATAATAGCATTTCTTAAGGTCTTAATCTATGCCAGGCACTATGAGAGCATCCTTGACATAGATTATTCTTACATTCGTTCCATAATTTGTTGTCCTCATTTCACATGGGGGAAAACAGACTGAAAGAGGTTAAGCTTCCCAAGGACACAGCAGGTCAAGGGCAGAGTCAGAATTCAGTCAAACTTCAGAGCTGGAAGAAGAAATGTAATCTCCGCGATGAGAGTCAGTATCTGATCTGATGAGAATGTAAGAGCCAGGATCAAAACAAAGGACAAGAGATAAATGATAACACCTCCTGGATGCTTCACTATGTCTCAAGCTTTGCTCCATGCTCTTACACTGAGTCTTCAGAACACTAGAATGAAAGCTCCATGAGGCAGAGATTTTGTCCCTCTGGTTCTCCACTCTATATCTGCAGCCCCAAGAACTGTACCTGCCTTGAGATTGAGACTCAATAAAACTTTGATGAATGAAGGAGCCACAGTCTGAGTAGGTACTTTTAGCCCCATTTTTCAGATAGATCTGCAGATTGTCAACTGTTAGGTAACTTGCCCAGAGTCACACAGCTACTTAGTGGCAGAGCCAAGATTCAGACTTCTCAATTTATTTGTTCTTAACCACTATGCATTCATGCCATCTGTGTACGTTCTGAGGCAACATAAAATTGGTTATATGCCTCCTGTGTGGGGAAGACAGGTCTAGCCAACAGGTATCTGAGTTCCTCCTCTCAGGCACTTAACCCTCCCTTTCTTCTCAGTGTTTTTCTCGGACAGATCGATTACTCAGACACAAACGGATGTGCCAAGGGTGCCAGTCCAAGACTTCCGACGGGCAGTTTTCTCTATAGGCGCAAGGGGCCCTGGGTGGTGGGAGTGATGAGAAGAATCTACCGAAGAACGCACCCTCCTCTGGTCTGACGGTCCCACCACCACCCCGTGTGTACCTGTCCCCTCCTGGAGGAGTGGACCTAGGAGACCAGAAGAGTGCATCAGGGGACAACAGCCCCAGAGCCTCAGCTCTGTAAATAATCTGAGACTATGAGTATCTCGGGGAAGTTCCTACAGCATTCCTGGGCAGGAAAGCTAGTCCCTGGACCCTTGGCTGAGGTCATAGGTGGGGGACTCAAGGTACAGGACCAAGACTGAAATGTGGCTCCCACAACCTTGGACTCCAACTGGCAGCTGAAATGAAAAAGATTGGGAGAGGGATTTGTTTATTTGTTTGTCCTGTTCTTATTTTTGTTTATCCAAAAGCAATTTCAGCAGGTACACTGTGGATACAGGTAATCTGGAGGTATAGAACCATGGCCACAGGGACGATGGGTGGTCCAGCCCTCCAGAATTGAGTTTTTAGTTGCAATTGATCCTCAGTGTTCCACAGCCCTGCCCCTTACCTCCTGTTTGAAGGAGAATAGGATCAGGGATGGCAGCTGAGCTTACTTTGGCTTCCTTATACACTGTAGGGACAAAAGGAAGAACAGTAGGAGGAGCAGACGAGGGCTGGATCCAAGAAGAGTGGACAGGTACCTGTTATTTCCTCCGGGGAAGAGTAAGAGTTGTGCCCATGGATGTTGTAATGAACCATGCCACACTGGTACCTAATGGGGTCAGCCTAAGTGCCTTTTGGAGGAAACTTGGGTGACAGTGGCTCATGAAGCCCTTTCCTTCTCTCTTTGGGCAGTTGACCTTGGAAATAGTTTGTGGCTACCTCGCTGCCATTGATTCCTAAGCCAAACAGGGGTGTTGAGCCAGGGAGTCATGGATATCAAAGTAGTTCTTCCTCCTTGTGCCCTCTTTGGAACCACCCAAGACTAGTCCTAAGTTGAGTAACACCTGTTCAGGAAACAGGAATTAGGTGTCCCTTGACATGACAGTTGAGCAGTGTGAGCTGTTCTCTCTGCCCAAGTCCTATCACTGTATTCAGGTAGAGGAGATAGGGGTCTGGCCTTTGGTCCCAAAGAACAAGATCTTGGCTTCCTTCTTGATGGCCATCCCTACCCAACAAAGAATTGGGGGGAGTAGAAGAGCTGCAGAGAAAGGACTGAGGATGAAACCTAATGTAGGTTTTATTCTTAACCATACTCTTTGCTTCTCTCTGCTCCCAAAACCATCATCCTATCCACCCTCAAAAAAATGATCTGGGGAGTGTGTGTGTGAGTGTTGGTGTTTGTGTGCTTGGAGTCGGCATATTATTGAGCCAGGCTCTTCTCTGGCCTCTGCGCAGGGGAGGATGAGCATGAAACAGCCTCCCCCGCCCCAAACCTGAGGGTGTGTAAGGTTCCAGCAGGAACTGAGAAACTCAAATTTAGGGAACAGGAGGGCTTTGTTTTGGAGGTGTTTTTGTTTTGTTTTTGTTTTTAGATTGATTCAACAGAGTGGGGGTTAGATGTTTCTAACTTATGCCAGGAGCTTGTGAACGTGAATTTTCTAAAGTGAAATAAAAAGCCCTCTTCCTGCTAAGGAAAGGATCCTTATGGAAGGCCTGGGGTTTGTGGCCTGTGTTCTGTGGCCTGCCCTGACCTGTGGAATGAGGAGTAATCATGGAGACTTGATGAACCTGACCAAGCTGTCAGTGGGGATCCTATGGCCTCTAGGAAATGTGAGTTCTTTCCCAGAAAGTGTAGGGGACAGCAGCAACATACTCCTGGCTGTTACCTATTCTGGAAGAGAGCATGGGGGAGTGGGGCAGCCCTCTGTACCTCTGAGGTGTGAGGATCTCAGGGAAAGAGGAAAGGGGCATGACACCTTTTAGGTTTTTCCTGAGAGCATCTGAGATCCTTTGGGGAGACCTTGGGGAATGTGTGTGCCACCCTGTGCTTTAGGCTGGCACTCCCAGGGGTTGTGTCAGAATCACCCTGTGGCCCCTGTTAGGGCATTTTTCTGCATGTGAGCCAGCCCCTTCCTGGGAGAGTGCTCTGCTCAGGCTGGAATTTGTCTATTGTCCGCCTCTGGGAATATGTTCTGGGAAGGAGGATACGTTTAGAAAATTGTCCTCCCAAGAGCGCTTTTGAAAATGGGAGGCCTCGCTCCCTGCCACTGGGTTGTGGGTTGGGGTGGGTGGGTGTGGAGAGAAGCACGTGAGTGATCCATGCCCCTATGTGTGTGAATGTGTGTTTAGGTCAGGATGTGCCTGGCCCCGACAGGCCTCACATTCCTGCCTGAGAGAGTGGGAGAAGGGAAATTAAGTGGATTTGTAGAGCCATACCAGAACCACCCCTGCCAACGCCTGGGTGTGGGGGAGACCCAGGAGCAGGGGGTTAGTTTGGTTGTCCAGGTGCTGATGTTCTGGGGCCATGGATGTATAAGGAGAGGGAAGCAAAGAGGTGAAAGTGATTTAGCGCCCATGGGGGGGCGGGTGCAGGAGCCCCACTTATACCCCAGGGAAACCATAGACTAAGACCGCCGCAAAGGCTCCTGGGCCCAACACCCCACCCTTTGTTTGCTGGGATGGGGTCTAGCACTGGAAAGATGCCTCAGGTGTGTTTGGAGTGAAGGGAAAGGGAGATAGGGCAGGCTCTCAGAGACCAGGCTGTGGAATTGGACCCGGGAAAGAGTAGCCCCGGTTCCTGGGTGAACTGCTATACCAGGCCCTACCAGCCCTGCCCTTCCCAGCACCCCAAGTCTTTTCCGTCCACCCCCAACAGCCTCTTGTCATCACTTAGCTACTGATTGTGCCCCACGGCTTGACATCGGAGGGTTAAGAGACACAGAGTCCCGCCACGACTTATACTAGTAACCCTCTCCTCAGACTCTGCCTCTGCTGTAGCTCTGGGGCTTTTATCTTAATCCCTCCTACCTGCCTCACCACCCACCCTCTCTCTCTCTTTCTCTCTCTCTCTCTCTCTCTTTTTTTTTTTAATATACTTATTTTGCTATGGGGGGTGGGGAATATCAAATGAACAAGATCACTTTTAAATGGTAGTTTTTATAAGATGTTATAAACTTGTATCTTTTTACCATTAAAGTGCAGTGTATGTTCCTTCGTGATATATTTAGGATATTTAAATAAAAAGAAAATGGGGCTTTTTTACATACTATCTCATCTTTGAAAAGAATATCTTGTGGGGAATTCTTTTCACTGGGGCCAACATGATCTCCTTTTTCCCCCCAAATATAACCATCCTGCAATTTCTAGTACCCTATAAACCGCCACTTTAAAACTCCCCTTCTCCACAGGCAAGCAACAAGTAGAATTGAAACCGAGGTATCTAAAATACGTATATTTGTATTAATTCTGATTAAGAGAAAAAAACCCTGCTGAACAAGACAGAATGAGGTTGGATACCAGCATACACAGTGTTTGTTAAAGTGATCTGTAATCTGAAGATTCTTTATTGTATTTGTGGATGGGGCAACCCCCACTTCTTGAGGGGTGGGGAAGCAAGGGTGCGGCAGGAGGCCGGCCTCTGGGGTGTCCAAGTACAGTAGGCGGTGATTAGTCCCCCAGCAGGCTGCTGCCTGATAGACCCAGAGCCCCAATTCCCACCATCCCCCCAGCAAGAAGAACTCTGGAGTGAGTAGCCCTACCCTCTTCAGAGAGGACTTTCTGGAGCTTGAAAGCGGGGGTTAATGATGGTCGTGACAGCGCTTTTGTAGAGAGGATTTCTGTCCTGGGGGAAGAAGTTGGAAATGATGAGGAAAAGTCCCAGGACTTCTCCTTTAGCTAATTCTAAGGGCCGACCTAGAACTTGAGCCGGACCCTAAAAGCCTGTGGACAGGCCACAAACACCTAGGTGTGGGGGGGTCGGGGGTCAGGGCTGAGGGTGGAATGAGACAGCTGGGGCAGAGGACCTAACCCAGGAAAGCAAGTGAAAACCAGCCCAGCGGACTAGGAGGCAGTCTCACCTGCTTCCAGTTGGGCTGCTGCCGCTCCTTCTCAAAGCGCTTGTATTCTCGGCGGTCATAGATTTCCACGGAGAGCCGGTAAGCCAGGACCAGCACCAGTCCCACTGCCACAATGCCCCCCACACAGCCTAGCACAATGGCCTGGGTGTGGTCTGCTCCCTCTGTGGGGGTGAAACAGAAAGACCTCTGGGCGGGCGGAACACAGAGATTGAGCAACAGTTGCCCAGTGTGTGTGCAGCCCCATCCAACCTCCCCGGCCGTCCCTGTCATTGAAAACAAAGGGAACTCAGCAGGTTTATGTTCAGTGCCCAGTTTTTTAGCCTCCACTTGATCCATTACCGCCACTTTTGCCTGGATTCTCAGCTCTGCTTCAATCCCTAGTCTGGGTCCTCTGTCTTTACCTCCTCAACCTGAGTTCTGAGGCCCCACCCATCAACCTTCACGGCTCCATTTGGCATGTCCAAGGCATCCCTGTCCACTTACTCTCTTGGGGTCTCACTCTCAGCACGACCCTGCCTCCGGCTTCCTCCTCCACCAGGAAGAAGAACAGCTGGTTGTCCAGGGTCCTCTCTTTGCACCAGCCATCATCCAGCACAGGGGCCAGAGCCAGAGTCACGTTGGTATGGGCACAAGCCATGCTGCAATTGGTGGCCAGGACACCAGTCCCAAAGGCCCCACACTCTGCACAGTCCCTGTCCAATAGACACCAGTAAGTTACTGACTGGGCAGTTGTCACCCACACCACATGGAGGAAAGCAGGCAGGGGTCCCAAATGCCAGGCCTGAGGCCTCACCTGTGTCTCTCGCATGGTGTCTTGCAGCCTGGGCACTGATCACATAGGGCACCGTAGTAGCCGTCCAAGCACTGGCAGCGGTTGCATTTGCAATGTCCATGCCCACTGCAGAGCCTTCCCTCAGGACCGACGCAGCCATCCATGTCCCCACTGCACTCACACGCTCTGCCCGTGCGGTTGGCGTGACAGTGACACACTCCACATTGGCAGAGGCCAAAGCCTGGAGCAGAGTCACGCACAGGGTGACAAACATGTTCCACACACACAATGGACATCACAGCCTAGAGCTGACCTGTTCCCGTGCATCCAGTCCCCTCTCAGTATGCCAGATGTGTGCCCCAACTCGTACACCAGAATCTCTGTACTTGCCCTTAGTGCCTTAAAGGTCCCAGAGCCTAAATACCCTTGGGAGAGCCACTCTGAACCCTCCCTTCTCCCACAGGTCCCCAGGTACCTCCACAGAGGACGCCCTCGTGTCGCTCACAGCTGGCATCGTCACACTCGCACAGGCGCCCAGAGCTCTGTCCGCTGCAGCTGCAGTGTCCACACTGGCATCGTCCCTTCCCGCTGCACAGGGGCCCTGTCCCATTGGGGCCCCGGCACCCAGATTCCAGATCTGGGGAGGACAGCTCAGACTCAGAGCACTCACAGAGTCGACCCAGGCGGCCTGGGTCACAGCTGGGAGGGGAAAGAAAGGGAGAGAGAGGTGGGTCCGAGAGTTCGGTCATTCCTTTACCTGTCTTTCCCAGGATACTCTAGACCCAAGGTCTCACAAGAGTTTAGATGGTGGCTGAAGGGATGTGGAATATAGTAAAGTACCAAGGAGTGGAGGAGCAGAGTGTCCTGGTGGAGGGGAGGGTCTCAGCATTCTGGGAAGCTTCAGGAGAGAAAAATCAGGGTGCAGTCTAGGGATGTGTAGGAAAAACTTGTCTAGAGATGCCAGTGGAAGAATAGAAGGCAAAGGAGGAGGAGTACAGGGGCTGTATCTGTGAGGAGCTACATAGGTGGAGGGAAGCTAGAGGCCCTCACCTGCACACCCCGCATTGTAGGTGCCCGTGGTCACTGCAGTGGGGCGCTGGGAGCTGGGTGTCATTGCAGTTGCAATCGCACAGTGTGTGCAACTCCACAGTCAGCTCCTCTGAGAAGCCAAGAGCTCGGAACTTCAGAAAATGGGGCCCTGGGAGGCAGCGGGTAGCTTGGAAAGTAACCAAAAAATTCACCTGAGGGCAGAATGGGCAGAAATCAGACTAAACTCATACATGCACCCCTGTGCACATGGGCACACACCCCAAACCTATGGATCATCCAGAACCCTACTCCTTAGTAAATTAAGGGACAGTCAATGCTAACACCCATCTCCTAGCAACATGCTTGAAGCTAATCATTAAACCCCTTCAGAAAGGGTGGGTGGAGAACTACCTCAAGTTCTTGCATTGTTCTCTGTGCCTGCCCCCATCTTATCCTTCCTGCCTCAATTTCCCACTCTCACCCCCACTTCCTTCATTCTGCTTTTAAATTGATTTTAGAGAGAGAAACATTGGTTTGTTGTTCCACTTATTTATGCATTCACTGGTTGATTCTTGTATGAGCCCTGACCAGGGATCGAACCCGCAACCTTGGCATATTGGGGACAATGCTCTAACCAACTGAGCTACCTGGCCAGGGCCCCTTCTACCTATTCCAACTGGCTCTCACCGTCTGGTTGATTCGGACATGGTTGCACTGGCCCCGGTCCCCAGGCTCACCAGCCCTCTTCTCATGACCCCCACACTGAGATTCATAAGAGATGTGGACCCCCGGAGGGAGTGGAGAGTGTTCGAGGGTCACAGTGGATGACAGACTCTGTGGGAAGAGAATGAGTAACCACATGAAGGTGGACTCTGACCCCACCTCATGCCCTCTCCAGCCATTCCAAATTCTGCCAGAACCCTGCCCTCAGCCCCCCTCAAGGCTCCTTCCATTCTGCCTAGTCTGGAGGCATCTCTGGAGGAGGGACCTGTGAGAACCTCGAGGGGAGTACAGGGGCATCCAGGGCCTCTACTAGCACTTCAGTGCAGCTGCAGCCAGGGAGCCAGGGAGCCAGGGCTTGCTAGGGCTCAGGGGCTGGCCAGGCACCGTAAACATGCAGCAGCTGTGTTCTCAAATCCCCAAACAGGACATATAACCTGTGTACATACAAGGTCTAAAGGGCAGTTCTCCCAGACTTCGTCCTGGAAAATTTGATACCAGCTCAGGTTTTCTCACTGTGGTTTTAGGAAATGGTTCCTGTCATCAAGAAGCCTACAGTCTAGTTACAAAGATAAGACCTAAACCAAGAAACACTTAAGAATTGTTATGGTTCCTCCTACCTGTAAAACTATGTTTCCTGTGAAGAATATCTGGATTGTTTATAAGCTTAATGAAAGCAGGTTCTGGATATTACATCATTTATGTACAGACTGACTAGAGGACAAATCCCAGCCCTTCTCTCTTTTATCTGAGTGATCTTGGGTAAGTCACTGAGCCTCCTTGTGTCTGTACCCCCATCTATAAAATAGGGATGGTAATAGTTACCCAGCAGCAGGTTTTGTGAGGTTAAATGGGATAGCAATCAAAATATGTGCACTTGGCATGTAATAAAAGCTCAATGAGTATTACTTTCCTTCCTTGCTCAGAGCTGGGCTCCATTCTCTACACAAATCAGACGCTTAAGATTTGTGAATGTAAGACTGATTGAGTGAATGAACTATTAAGACAACCCTATGCAAGCTGCAGGTAGGAGCTGTGGTGGGTTACCCAAAAAGCAATTATTCCCTCTTAGTTCTGCCACCCCTCTTGAGGGCCTTTCCCACCTTGCCCCAATGTCTGCCCTCACCATCCCCCCCGCCCCCCTCAGCTCCTCACATTATAAGCGTCCATGATGAGCTGCACCACATTGCTGGAGTTCTCACTCAGCTCCCCCACTGCGGACTTAGGGATCAGCTTACTCAGCTCCTGAATTATGAGGAGTTGAGGGAAATGGTGGGTCACAACTCCAGAGAAATGGGCTTCAGGGGGTCTGGAAGGAGGGCATATGGGGGAGAGAAGAATGGGACTTTGAGAGACTTGAGGAAGGTTCAGGGTGGGAGGGCTCTCACCTGGTAGACGGGCAGTGTGGCACTGGTGACAGCAAAAATGGGCTGGATGTTTGCTGCAGAGAGAGCCTGGGCTACCTGACCCACAGAGGGGTAGTCCTGGAGCAGGGAATGGGGACAAGGTGAGCACCGCAGGTCCTCCTAACACTCCAGGTACCCTCAGCCCAGGAAATCCAGGAACTGGGGTTCCACCAGCTACAGGAGCCCTGGGGACTTGGCAAGGGAGGGAGGGGCTAGTGCGGGTGGAGCTGCTGGGGAAAACAGCTGGGTGGTTACCAGCAAGGAGAATGAAGCTGGGGGGGATGGGGGTCCTGGGAAGAGAGGAGGTGGGGCTCAGACGGGGAGGGACATGGGACTAAGATGGACTCACAAACTCTGGGCTGCGACTATAGAGGCCATTGCTGTCCAAGTGGCAATGCCCATCACTGGGCATGAAGATGCCACCCAACTTTCCATCCCCAGCTGTGTGGAACGTGTCGTCTGAAGTGAACACCAGCAGCCGAGACACATTTCTCCAGCCAATCTGCTCCTAGGGTGGGGCAGGGGGAAGGCTGTGCACCTGGGCATGGCCCTTGAGCCACCCAGCCAGCAATGTGAGCCAAGGGTTTGGCCAGCTTCATTCTGAGTCAGTTTGTCTATACCCCTGCCCCCGGCTCCCTGCTTCTTTTCCCTAGACCCTAAGGCAGGGTTGCTGCTAGTGGAAGCATTCTTGAGAGTTAGAAAACGTGCCTCTTCCTCAAGATAATTTTACTTCAGTTTACTAGGAAATTGTCAAAATAAATATGCAAACTACGGTGACGATACAAATGCTACCCTGTGGAACTGTACTGCACAACGATAGGTGGCAATCTTGGCCCCCAACAGTCCTTCAGATTCAGACCCCTGCCCCACCTTCTTACCTGGCAGAGTGCAGCCTGTAGAATGGCATCAAAGCCACCTTCAGGTGAGTCCAGGTTGCCAGACACACTCTGGCGCCCCACCTCCCGCTCGAAGGCCTTGGCATCCCCCGTCAGGGATAGCACGTGGTGAAAGCTGAAGGGGGGCTGGCAGTGCTCCAGTCGGGTGGGGCAGGGATGGCGAAGCTTGGAGGGCACTGTGCTCACGAAGGGCAGTACCGTTTTTTTTTAATATACTTATTTTGCTATGGGGGGTGGGGAATATCAAATGAACAAGATCACTTTTAAATGGTAGTTTTTATAAGATGTTATAAACTTGTATCTTTTTACCATTAAAGTGCAGTGTATGTTCCTTCGTGATATATTTAGGATATTTAAATAAAAAGAAAATGGGGCTTTTTTACATACTATCTCATCTTTGAAAAGAATATCTTGTGGGGAATTTTTTTCACTGGGGCCAACATGATCTCCTTTTTCCCCCCAAATATAACCATCCTGCAATTTCTAGTACCCTATAAACCGCCACTTTAAAACTCCCCTTCTCCACAGGCAAGCAACAAGTAGAATTGAAACCGAGGTATCTAAAATACGTATATATGTATTAATTCTGATTAAGAGAAAAAAACCCTGCTGAACAAGACAGAATGAGGTTGGATACCAGCATACACAGTGTTTGTTAAAGTGATCTGTAATCTGAAGATTCTTTATTGTATTTGTGGATGGGGCAACCCCCACTTCTTGAGGGGTGGGGAAGCAAGGGTGCGGCAGGAGGCCGGCCTCTGGGGTGTCCAAGTACAGTAGGCGGTGATTAGTCCCCCAGCAGGCTGCTGCCTGATAGACCCAGAGCCCCAATTCCCACCATCCCCCCAGCAAGAAGAACTCTGGAGTGAGTAGCCCTACCCTCTTCAGAGAGGACTTTCTGGAGCTTGAAAGCGGGGGTTAATGATGGTCGTGACAGCGCTTTTGTAGAGAGGATTTCTGTCCTGGGGGAAGAAGTTGGAAATGATGAGGAAAAGTCCCAGGACTTCTCCTTTAGCTAATTCTAAGGGCCGACCTAGAACTTGAGCCGGACCCTAAAAGCCTGTGGACAGGCCACAAACACCTAGGTGTGGGGGGGTCGGGGGTCAGGGCTGAGGGTGGAATGAGACAGCTGGGGCAGAGGACCTAACCCAGGAAAGCAAGTGAAAACCAGCCCAGCGGACTAGGAGGCAGTCTCACCTGCTTCCAGTTGGGCTGCTGCCGCTCCTTCTCAAAGCGCTTGTATTCTCGGCGGTCATAGATTTCCACGGAGAGCCGGTAAGCCAGGACCAGCACCAGTCCCACTGCCACAATGCCCCCCACACAGCCTAGCACAATGGCCTGGGTGTGGTCTGCTCCCTCTGTGGGGGTGAAACAGAAAGACCTCTGGGCGGGCGGAACACAGAGATTGAGCAACAGTTGCCCAGTGTGTGTGCAGCCCCATCCAACCTCCCCGGCCGTCCCTGTCATTGAAAACAAAGGGAACTCAGCAGGTTTATGTTCAGTGCCCAGTTTTTTAGCCTCCACTTGATCCATTACCGCCACTTTTGCCTGGATTCTCAGCTCTGCTTCAATCCCTAGTCTGGGTCCTCTGTCTTTACCTCCTCAACCTGAGTTCTGAGGCCCCACCCATCAACCTTCACGGCTCCATTTGGCATGTCCAAGGCATCCCTGTCCACTTACTCTCTTGGGGTCTCACTCTCAGCACGACCCTGCCTCCGGCTTCCTCCTCCACCAGGAAGAAGAACAGCTGGTTGTCCAGGGTCCTCTCTTTGCACCAGCCATCATCCAGCACAGGGGCCAGAGCCAGAGTCACGTTGGTATGGGCACAAGCCATGCTGCAATTGGTGGCCAGGACACCAGTCCCAAAGGCCCCACACTCTGCACAGTCCCTGTCCAATAGACGCCAGTAAGTTACTGACTGGGCAGTTGTCACCCACACCACATGGAGGAAAGCAGGCAGGGGTCCCAAATGCCAGGCCTGAGGCCTCACCTGTGTCTCTCGCATGGTGTCTTGCAGCCTGGGCACTGATCACATAGGGCACCGTAGTAGCCGTCCAAGCACTGGCAGCGGTTGCATTTGCAATGTCCATGCCCACTGCAGAGCCTTCCCTCAGGACCGACGCAGCCATCCATGTCCCCACTGCACTCACACGCTCTGCCCGTGCGGTTGGCGTGACAGTGACACACTCCACATTGGCAGAGGCCAAAGCCTGGAGCAGAGTCACGCACAGGGTGACAAACATGTTCCACACACACAATGGACATCACAGCCTAGAGCTGACCTGTTCCCGTGCATCCAGTCCCCTCTCAGTATGCCAGATGTGTGCCCCAACTCGTACACCAGAATCTCTGTACTTGCCCTTAGTGCCTTAAAGGTCCCAGAGCCTAAATACCCTTGGGAGAGCCACTCTGAACCCTCCCTTCTCCCACAGGTCCCCAGGTACCTCCACAGAGGACGCCCTCGTGTCGCTCACAGCTGGCATCGTCACACTCGCACAGGCGCCCAGAGCTCTGTCCGCTGCAGCTGCAGTGTCCACACTGGCATCGTCCCTTCCCGCTGCACAGGGGCCCTGTCCCATTGGGGCCCCGGCACCCAGATTCCAGATCTGGGGAGGACAGCTCAGACTCAGAGCACTCACAGAGTCGACCCAGGCGGCCTGGGTCACAGCTGGGAGGGGAAAGAAAGGGAGAGAGGTGGGTCCGAGAGTTCGGTCATTCCTTTACCTGTCTTTCCCAGGATACTCTGCCTCCTGCACAAGCCGGCAACCAGACATGTGCCCCAACTGGGAATTGAAACATGATCTCCTGGTTTGGAGGTTGGTGCTCAATCACGCAGCCACACCAGCCAAGCTGGATGTCTTTTTTACATTTAACTCTTCCCCCGTTGATGGACAGTTTTTAGAAGTTTATGTTTTTATTAATTTAAGAGAGAGAGAAACATCAGTGATGAGAGAGAATCAGACATTGATCTGCCTCCCGTGTGCCCACACTGGGGATCAAGCCCACAACCTGGGCATATGCCCTGGCCAGAATCAAACCTTGACCTAGTTCATAGGTTGATGCTCAACCGCAGCCATGCCAGCCAGGCTCAAATTCGATTATTTTTTTTAAAAAGTGGTTCTCATGACTGAAAAAATTACATTTTATATGGGGATTAGTTGTTAAGCAGGTGTTTTGAAGCAAGCCTAACAAAGAGTTCATATTTGTTATTTATTTTTTAATCCTCCGCTAAGGATATGTTTTTTATTGATTTTTAGAGATCAAGGGAGGGAGGGAGGGAGAGAGAAACATTGATGTTGCCTCCCATATACACCCCAACTGGGATCTAACCTGCAACCTTTGTGCCCTGACTAGGAATCGAACCAGCTATCTTTTGGTGTATAGGTGACACTCGAACCAACTGAACCACACTGGCCAGGGCTAAATTTTTTTTCTTTTAAATTGATTTTAGAGAGAGAAACATTGGTTTGTTGTTCCACTTATTTATGCATTCACTGGTTGATTCTTGTATGAGCCCTGACCAGGGATCGAACCCGCAACCTTGGCATATTGGGGACAATGCTCTAACCAACTGAGCTACCTGGCCAGGGCCCCTTCTACCTATTCCAACTGGCTCTCACCGTCTGGTTGATTCGGACATGGTTGCACTGGCCCCGGTCCCCAGGCTCACCAGCCCTCTTCTCATGACCCCCACACTGAGATTCATAAGAGATGTGGACCCCCGGAGGGAGTGGAGAGTGTTCGAGGGTCACAGTGGATGACAGACTCTGTGGGAAGAGAATGAGTAACCACATGAAGGTGGACTCTGACCCCACCTCATGCCCTCTCCAGCCATTCCAAATTCTGCCAGAACCCTGCCCTCAGCCCCCCTCAAGGCTCCTTCCATTCTGCCTAGTGTGGAGGCATCTCTGGAGGAGGGACCTGTGAGAACCTCGAGGGGAGTACAGGGGCATCCAGGGCCTCTACTAGCACTTCAGTGCAGCTGCAGCCAGGGAGCCAGGGAGCCAGGGCTTGCTAGGGCTCAGGGGCTGGCCAGGCACCGTAAACATGCAGCAGCTGTGTTCTCAAATCCCCAAACAGGACATATAACCTGTGTACATACAAGGTCTAAAGGGCAGTTCTCCCAGACTTCGTCCTGGAAAATTTGATACCAGCTCAGGTTTTCTCACTGTGGTTTTAGGAAATGGTTCCTGTCATCAAGAAGCCTACAGTCTAGTTACAAAGATAAGACCTAAACCAAGAAACACTTAAGAATTGTTATGGTTCCTCCTACCTGTAAAACTATGTTTCCTGTGAAGAATATCTGGATTGTTTATAAGCTTAATGAAAGCAGGTTCTGGATATTACATCATTTATGTACAGACTGACTAGAGGACAAATCCCAGCCCTTCTCTCTTTTATCTGAGTGATCTTGGGTAAGTCACTGAGCCTCCTTGTGTCTGTACCCCCATCTATAAAATAGGGATGGTAATAGTTACCCAGCAGCAGGTTTTGTGAGGTTAAATGGGATAGCAATCAAAATATGTGCACTTGGCATGTAATAAAAGCTCAATGAGTATTACTTTCCTTCCTTGCTCAGAGCTGGGCTCCATTCTCTACACAAATCAGACGCTTAAGATTTGTGAATGTAAGACTGATTGAGTGAATGAACTATTAAGACAACCCTATGCAAGCTGCAGGTAGGAGCTGTGGTGGGTTACCCAAAAAGCAATTATTCCCTCTTAGTTCTGCCACCCCTCTTGAGGGCCTTTCCCACCTTGCCCCAATGTCTGCCCTCACCATCCCCCCCGCCCCCCTCAGCTCCTCACATTATAAGCGTCCATGATGAGCTGCACCACATTGCTGGAGTTCTCACTCAGCTCCCCCACTGCGGACTTAGGGATCAGCTTACTCAGCTCCTGAATTATGAGGAGTTGAGGGAAATGGTGGGTCACAACTCCAGAGAAATGGGCTTCAGGGGGTCTGGAAGGAGGGCGTATGGGGGAGAGAAGAATGGGACTTTGAGAGACTTGAGGAAGGTTCAGGGTGGGAGGGCTCTCACCTGGTAGACGGGCAGTGTGGCACTGGTGACAGCAAAAATGGGCTGGATGTTTGCTGCAGAGAGAGCCTGGGCTACCTGACCCACAGAGGGGTAATCCTGGAGCAGGGAATGAGGACAAGGTGAGCACCGCAGGTCCTCCTAACACTCCAGGTACCCTCAGCCCAGGAAATCCAGGAACTGGGGTTCCACCAGCTACAGGAGCCCTGGGGACTTGGCAAGGGAGGGAGGGGCTAGTGCGGGTGGAGCTGCTGGGGAAAACAGCTGGGTGGTTACCAGCAAGGAGAATGAAGCTGGGGGGGATGGGGGTCCTGGGAAGAGAGGAGGTGGGGCTCAGACGGGGAGGGACATGGGACTAAGATGGACTCACAAACTCTGGGCTGCGACTATAGAGGCCATTGCTGTCCAAGTGGCAATGCCCATCACTGGGCATGAAGATGCCACCCAACTTTCCATCCCCAGCTGTGTGGAACGTGTCGTCTGAAGTGAACACCAGCAGCCGAGACACATTTCTCCAGCCAATCTGCTCCTAGGGTGGGGCAGGGGGAAGGCTGTGCACCTGGGCATGGCCCTTGAGCCACCCAGCCAGCAATGTGAGCCAAGGGTTTGGCCAGCTTCATTCTGAGTCAGTTTGTCTATACCCCTGCCCCCAGCTCCCTGCTTCTTTTCCCTAGACCCTAAGGCAGGGTTGCTGCTAGTGGAAGCATTCTTGAGAGTTAGAAAACGTGCCTCTTCCTCAAGATAATTTTACTTCAGTTTACTAGGAAATTGTCAAAATAAATATGCAAACTACGGTGACGATACAAATGCTACCCTGTGGAACTGTACTGCACAACGATAGGTGGCAATCTTGGCCCCCAACAGTCCTTCAGATTCAGACCCCTGCCCCACCTTCTTACCTGGCAGAGTGCAGCCTGTAGAATGGCATCAAAGCCACCTTCAGGTGAGTCCAGGTTGCCAGACACACTCTGGCGCCCCACCTCCCGCTCGAAGGCCTTGGCATCCCCCGTCAGGGATAGCACGTGGTGAAAGCTGAAGGGGGGCTGGCAGTGCTCCAGTCGGGTGGGGCAGGGATGGCGAAGCTTGGAGGGCACTGTGCTCACGAAGGGCAGTACCGTCTTGTCCACGAAGGAGCCAAAGCCTAGGGGGAGGGAGGAGGGGCGAAAGCTGTGCCAGAAGTTTCTGGGCAGCGGCAGCAGGAAGCGGGGGCCACTATTGAGGACTAGGAAGGGAGGAGTCCATGGGGGTGGGGGGTCCTAGAGGAGCCAGGTGTTCCTAAAGGGCAGGGACCCAGTACCTGGCCAGGTAAAAGGCTGAATCCACCAGCTCAGGGAAGTGGGGGAGGGAGGAGATGAAGAGGACACAATGGGGGGTCAGGCAAGGGTTTCCTGAAAGCTGAGCAAGAAGGTGGAGTGTAAGGTGGAGCAGCAGCATAAGGCAAAGGAGGAGACTGAGAACGGAGAAGAGGTGAGCACAGATGTGCAACCAGGGACAGTGGCATTTAGAGACACGGCTGAGACAGAGGCACAGGGCAGTAGCTGAGTTGGTAGGTCCAGGGCACTGCCTGAGCCCTGGGAGCTGCCTGAACACATCTCTCCAGACTCGGGGCCTCAGTGACACTCCCTGTGAAATGAATGGTCCCACTGGGCAGTCTCTTAAATCCCCTCCAGCTCTGACCTAGAAGATGCGTGTCTTTGGGGGAAGATGTCAGCAACCTGTGGCCTGTTAACCCTGGGAGAGGGCAGGTGGGGCCCTTGTGTGTCCAGGACGTTGGCAGAGGCTAAGGCAGCGGTTGAAGTTCGAGGCAGAGGCTGGCAGGTGGTGGGGCTGCGCTGCGCTCGCTCACCGATGCGCACGGACTGGGTGACCTCCTGCAGTCGCACCAGCAGGGCGTGCCCGAGCTGGCGCACGAACTCCAGGTCGTCCTTCATGGAGTAGCTCAGGTCCATAAGGTAGTACAGGTCCACAGGGTACCCCTCGGCACGGAGGAAGCGGACCTGCAGCCGCTGGGGCTCCCCTGGGGACAGGGCAGTGGGGTCAGCGGGGCACGTTCAGATCCGCACCCAGAGTTGTGCCCCTGCACTGCCCCAGCTCACTCACCGGGACGCAGCGTGACCCGCACCCGCTGCGGTGCCA